CTGCAAGTACATCAGATGGTTGAAGAATAAAAAATGGCTTTGGAAGAATATCTGAAGGACAATGATGAAGATGCACTGAAATTAGTATATCAGGAAGGCTTACTGACTACTGGAGAGACCAAACTGACCTACAAGAAAGACCAAATGAAGAACAGAATAGAGGCATGGGAAGACAAAGCACTATATGGCCAGTACATTAAAAAAATAGCTGGGAAAGCAGATAATAACAAGACCTAGCAATGGCTAAGAGCAGGAAAATTGAAGAAAGAGACCGAGGGACTAATTCTGGCTACACAAGACCAAGCTTTAAGGACAAATGTATATAAAGTCAAAATTGAGAAGACAGCAACAGACAGTAAGTGCCGCCTAGGCAAAGAAGCTGAAGAAACAGTGGACCACCTGATAAGCTGCTGCAAGAAGATCGCACAGACTGAGTACAAGCAGCGGCACGACAAAGTAGCAACAATGGTGCATTGGAAGATCTGCAAGAAATATCCTTTGCCTGTAAGCAAAAACTGGTGGGATCATAAAATAGAGAAAGTCATAGAAAATGATAAAATTAAACTGCTCTGGGACTTCAGAATTCAAACAGACAAGCACCTGCAACATAACACTCTGGACTTAACAATTGTCGATAAGAAAGACAAAAAAGTCTGGATAGTGGACATGGCAGTGCCTGGAGACAACAGAATAGACGAGAAAGAACTGGAGAAGATAACAAAATACAACGACCTACAAATAGAAATAGAAAGACTGTGGCAAAAGCAAGCAAGGGTAGTACCAATAGTAATAGGCACCTTGGGTGCAATCCCAAAACAACTGGAACACCACTTGAACACCATTGGCATTGACAAATTCACCATTAGTCAATTGCAAAAGGCGCCCTTACTAGGAACTGCTTCCATCCTGCGACAATATCTGTAATACCATCAAACATCCACATCTGCCTATCCCAGGTCCTTGGTAAGGACTCGATAGGTAGACAAAATGCCAAACCCAGTCTGAACATCTGGCTGATTGTGCAATGATCATTATTATTATTATTATTATTATTATTATTATTATTATTATTATTATTAATAATAATAATAATAATAATAATAATAATAATAATAAAGTTGGAAGGGACCTTGGACTTTCATTCTTAGAGATTATTTGTGAAGAATCAGAATGCAAGTTTCCATTGGTCATGAAAAATCTGAACCCTATATGTGTAGCAGAAAGACATCTAGAAAACTTCAATGTAAAAAGATTCAGCTAATATAGCAAGGAATACACAATGACCCCAGAGTCTTGCAAGCAAGAAGAAATGATGACATGATTTCCATAGCTAATTTAGAATTACCATTTTGCTCCAGAGATGAATAGAGTTAGTGATTAATTTATCACATTCAATTGCAAATTAAGATTTGAATTTTTAAAAGCTGTTTGTAATCAGAGCTTGTCTCCGTTTAGAGCTAATCACACATAACACACACAACTATCATCAATTATATCTCTTGATTATGGGATACAGTGAAAAGGAAGTTCCAAACAATACATTATGTATCTGCTATTTAGTAAAGATTATGTCTCATTAAATGTTCCAGTAAAGTATCATATCTATAGACATATTTTAATATCTCCTTTAATCTATCAGCCAGCAGAGTATGAGATAGGATTACAAGTATATACTCAGAAGCCTATGACAAAGCCCTAAGTTATTTGCAACCTAAACCCCTTCTCAGGCATCCTCCAAGGTATGAAGAATAAGCCCAAACATTTCCATGACTGAGTAAAATCCATAAAATACTATTAAAAATTATGTGTATACAGAAAAAAGTGTGACCTTTACCTTATAATCACTATATTACCATATACAGACTCAGATTTATTTTCCCTTATGCTGCTGAATAAACTACCAATCAATTAAGGTAAAGGTAATGACAAAACTCAGAAAGAGGGTGACAGGGCAATAAAAAAATAATTACATCATTTTCTATTCCCGTGTTTTAGTGCATTTCTATAGGTATAGAAAGCAAGCCTATGTTCATTGTGGAAAAATAAAAATATACACTCTATTGCTTTTTGGCAAAGAAATCCAGCAACTTAAAGAAAATAGAATCCATGCCAGGGAAGACATTTAACTGTTATATTTATAGATAACATTATATCAAGATGTGGTCCCACATATCTTGACTATCCAATTCTTGCTGACTTCATTGCAAAGCATTGACTGAGTTGATGGGAAGGTTATTTACATGTAAATTATCATTTGAAGTTACAATCATCAAGTGCTGAATAACTGCCTGAACCAGGTTATTATGGTGTGAATTGCTGACTATACTGTATGTGGGAGTTGCTACTTTACTTATTTCTAGGTAAAGTTGTGTTTCTTTCTCTCTTCTTGATTTTAGAACTGCTCCAGATCTAGCTCTTTGCCTGAAGTTCCAACAGCATCCATTGCAACAAATGTCTTTTAGTTCCAGATAGTTCTAAAGGAGAATGCCCTAGTCATACATGCTTTATCAGTGGGGTCCTTGGTGCACTCTGAGCTTATTTGCAGATCTTTCTTGCAGATCTTTCATTACCAAACTAGGTAACATCATCAGTTACTAGAAAGGGTAGCACTATTACCAACTAACTAATTTTATTAAAAGGTATAGCCTTTTATGAGCTGCAGTTTACTTCATCGTCTGAGTGCCTAGACTATTCTAGTATTTAATTTGGGGTGATGTGGGACAGAAAAGGAGAAAAAGATTAGTTATGCAGATGCAGAATGCATATTACTAATACTTTACCAATTAACAATTATAATGTGCTTAAAACCCAGAGTGTTGATGGGAAAGCTAACCTTCTGAAATTTCCTGAAACTATACAATGTATGTGAGTTCAACAATTTCTCACTCAGTGGTGGAAATAGGGTCTATTTTTTTCCCCAAAACATTAATTTGGATTGCTATTAAATAACCTAGGAGGTTGAAGTGTTTTAATAGTACTTTCTCTGCAATAATGGTGAATATCTGTAGCTCGGGTGTAGGATGAGGGTGAAGGTTTGTTCTCTGAGCTTGTGGGTTGGTTTCCGAACATTTTGTTACCAGGCTAGGAATCCCTAAACGCCGCTGAATATGTTATCTAGCCTGGTAACAAAATGTTCGGAAACCAACCCACAAGCTTGGAGAACGAACCTTCATCCTCAATACTTTCTCTTTGCTTTGAGTCTGGACTTCAAACTTGTGTCAATTAATTCTTGTGTGCAAAGTCTGTCCTATTTGTCCTAGGGGGCATTTCAGCAAATATTACACTGGAGGAAGACTAAATGGAGGCACCTGTATGGACTAAAGACTAAATGGAGGCAACTTGTTATTACTTTTTGGGGCCCATGATGGTATTGTTGGGGGAAAGTAGACATCAGTACCTGGCATCATTGTTTCTTGCTGCTTGTGAGAATCTACTTCAGGTTAGGTGATTACATGTTTGCAATTATGGGTTTGCCACTCAGAGTCTGAGATAGTACACTGCTTAGGGGTTTGTGCATGTGTTTGTGTGAGTGTGAACTCCTATTGACTGCCTAAAGTTTTCTTGGCAAGATATTTTGGAAATGGTTTGCTATTGTCTGTTTCCTAGATTGAGAGAGAATGACTGTCCCAAGGTCACCTAGTTGGTTTCTTGCTTACGGCAGGGCTAGAATTTCAGTTACCCAGTTTCTAGCCTGATGCCTCAACCAATAGAGCAAGCTGATTCTCACAATGGGGTATAGATTACTAATAATGTGTTTGAGTTGTAGGTGACAAGCAGTGGTGTTCTGTTACGCTATTTCTATATTTGTCTTTTAACAGGTCCTCTCTGGAAATGGAACTGGCTCTATTGATTTGTCTATTGGTCTCATAGGGTGAGTAGTTCAGTTTCCTGATGCTTAGTTTAATTTCATCAGTTAAGTATCTCTGTCAAGTGGATCTGAAAAAATGTGGAAATAGCATTGAGGTTTGATGTACCGGTAGATGGTAGATGTGATAGTTGAAAGCATGTGACTATGCAGGGCAATCTATAACTTTTCTGTCTAACATAATGTTTGTCCATTGTGAAGTTTTATCAATGAAGATATCAAAGAAGCTGATTTGTTCTGTATGTAGCTCCAAACTGAGGTTGACAGAAGAGAAGAAGTTGTTAGGCATGATGAAATTTGATAAGAGATTCGTTTCCATGAGTCCAGATAATTAAAATGGATTAGTGCAAAGTTACCCAGCCTTATGGCAGGATGTGATATTTTAGCATCAGTGATGATATTCTCTTTGGCTTAAAATCCATGATTGGGCAGAATGTTGGTGTATAACTTCTCAACATTTATGGTGGCTAAAATGATGTTGTTTGTAAAATTTGCTAGAAAATGTGTTACCAGATCCTACAATAAGCTAACATGGCCATGATCCTAAATGTCTACTTAGCAGCAAGAAGTACAAGACAGCTGCATAGAAAGATGTGCTTCAGACCAAATTATGTTTCAGGACAAATATATGATTTCAAGGTATTGATAGAAACACAACTCTCTACACAGACATGCCTATTTCCTAAGAGCATTATCTTGGGTTCTTCAAAAATGTTTGGCTTTATTTACTACTATCATCAGGAAATTAGTGGTTTTATTTTGAAAAGCATGAGGATTTTCTTTACAAATATATAATGCTTACTAAAGTTCAACTTCCCATGTGTGATTGGTTGATGATATTTTGCTTTTAATTGTTCTTTTGGGATATGAAGCAAATGCTATTTGTAACTCTGTAGATACAGAAAGGAAGCCTTTTGAAATTTATGCAAGCTGATAAAAAAGACAATGTAATCCTCTTCCTTAAATATTTGTAGATTAGTGTCGGTGTATTTCAAGTTACATTTCAGTAGAAGAGCACACGGAGCAAATTGGTAGCCATGCATTAGAGAAGAAATAGACAATGCTAAAATGGCCATTGTAGCTTATAATGGTGTTACAGCATCTAGCTATTCTTCAAAGCCATATCACTAAGAGATCAGATACCCAAATATCTATTCATTTTGCTTAAAGCATCACACACTGTGTTCAGGTCACTTCGGAGATCCTGGACAACATTTTCAATGCTTCTGGTGTCTTTCAGAATTTCAATGCTTTGGGTGTAGGGGTTGAAATAAACAGAAAAGGGACGGTTGATTGATTTTGCAAAGTCCCTGAAATAAAAATAAAAAAGAATTAAATTAACTCTTATTTCTGCACTTACAGATAACAGCAAATTCAATCTGGGGCTTGTTTTTAAGGGTCATGAAAATAACTTGCCTCATCTTTTCTTTGGCTTCTTCAAAACTTTCTGAGACAAAGTAAGCTTCCTGGAAAGTTGTGATAAGGCATTCTTGCAAGCAGGTTGTTTTTGGATCAAATGTTTTCACACTGGCTTTATCAGACAGAGCATGCTGCAAAATACACCACATCAACTATTAAGTTACATGACAGAAACCACAAGTGTTTCTATGCACCCAAACTTTATAGCAAAGAATGCGCTCCACTTCATATGATTCATCTATAATTGTTTTTTCAGAATGAATGTGATGTGCATCTTAAACTTATCAATCTATTTATTGCTTTAAGATTCCCTTCCCCTCAAATAATTACACCATCAAGAATATATTAATTTTGCTTTATATATGAAAAATAACTTAAATCATCACACCTGAAACAATAAACATATTATTAATAAATACTTCAAGTATTCCCATACTATGGCTAATATTAGGAATTCTTCAAAAGCAGAAGCAATATATGGATATTTACCCACAGCACACATTCGTAAAAAATATATTTCACCTCCAGTAAACATAACACCAGTTTGCTTCAGGCTTGAAAAGATCTAAATAAATAATGAACATTTTCATTGCTCTTTTTTAATACAGTATAAGGTAGATTGACAGGATATTAACAGTTCATCAAAAGTGTTCACTGTATACCCATTTGTTTAAAACCAAATTGAATGGCATTTAGAAGAAGTCATGGAATTTTATGAGTATACAATTTTTTAGAAAAATGTAAAGAACTGGGAGTGAACGGGAGGCGTTGGACATCTGTGGAATAAAATTCATACTCTGCTCTAATCAGTCCAGTTTCCAACTTGTGGTACAGGAATCATTCTATCTCGGTTCATGAAGAAAATAATAATCAGATATTTCCTTTTAAGAAAGAAATATATAAAAAATTAATTATAAAAGTTGCATGTGATAGTGCACACAGGGTCTTGAACTGCACAGATACACTTATACATGTTATTCTCTCCATATGGACATATTTGGTGTTTTTACACATGAGGATATGGATGTTCATGAGAGTAACAAATGGGGCATTTCCCCTTTCTGTATGTTCCATAATTCTTAGATTCCAACTTTATTTTCTTAAAAAACAACTACTAGAACTTAATTTATAAAAGTGAAATATGTAATCATTCTTCTACCTATTTTCTTTAAGTTTTTGCCCCAGGAAGGAGACAAGGCAAACCATTTCTGAAAAACCTTGCCAAAAAAATTGCAGAGACTTGTCCAGGTAGTTTCCAAAAATTGAACATAATTGAACTATACCTGTTATTTGTGCTTTATTATTTCCAGTGCTTCCTTAATCTTCCTTGTTTCTAGGTGATATTTTTGATCAGATATTCTTTGGCTCTTCAACTTCTTTTCTTTCATCTGTTTTAGTTTGCTTGCCTCTGATCTTAGCATGCTGATCTTATTTTCTAGCCTGATCTTCCATTTTGTGGTGTACTGTTTGGCTTTTTTTTTCTTTTTCTTTTTCACCCATGGTATTCAGTTATAATGCAGCCATTCTATACACTAGTTGGTTGTTTTTTGCAGTGAGCTAGTGCTTATATTTGATATTACAGTACTGGCATCTTTCAATACATGTGCTAGCTTCAATGCAGGCTGCCTTTTTCTGTTGTCTTTGTGATGTTCTAGATGCCCACTTATTCTTTACTTCAATTCTTTTTAGTTAAAGAATTTGTTTAACTATATAGCTGCTGGAGAAGGTTATCCTTTTGTTTGCAAAACACCACCCCTGCTGAACAGCAGAAAAGACAGAAGTTTTGACCCAATATCTGGAAGCTGTTAGGCCAGATGGGAAGAAGTAAGCTACTCCAATAAACTCTGGGTAGGTAGTCTTTCTCTGAAGAATCAGTCTGTGAGGATCCTCTGCTACCATGTTCCCCCAAAAGTAAGGCCTACCCCAAAAATAAGCCCTAGTTTTGGGGCAAGGCACACACCTAAAACTCAAGCTAGGGTGGGGGTGGGGGGGTGGAGCTGCCCCACATGACCCTCACCCACTTACCTTGCAGCCAAGCCTCTCCTCGCCGGCCCATTTCTTCTGTGCCATCTCCTGTAGCCAGGCCTGTATTTCTCAGGCTAGAATACAGCTGCAGAATGAAGCTGTTCCATCGGCCAGAAGAAGTGAGCAGTGGTTGGACTAGATGACCTCCAAGATCCCTTCCAACTTTATTATTATTATTATTATTATTATTATTATTATTATTATTATTATTATTATTATTATTATTATTATTATTATTATTATTATTAAATATATGTTAGTACAACAAGTGGACCGGCTGGGTGGGGCTGTCGGTGTTGGAGGTGAGTATAAAAGACACCCCCCCCCCAAAAAAAATAAGACCTAGTGCCTCTTTTGGAGGAAAAAAATAAGACCCGGTCTTATTTTTGGGAAAACACGGTAGTTGGAGAATTACTGCTAGACAGGCAGAAAGAATCCATGTATTGAGGTAGCTGCATTCCTTCTTGAAGCAGATACTTTGAGAAAGGCTTCTTGTCATCACCTATTAAGTCAACTACAACAATACCCCTTACCTGGAGTAGCCTTTGAAGACTCTTCTAAAGTTGCAGATGGTGCAGAACACAGCAGCCCATCTATTATCAGATGAGAGCCACTAGTGCCATATGCCAATGGTTAGGCTCTAAATTGGCTTCCAGGAGGCTTTATACCTGGAATTCTTCTGGACTGTATGTTTCAAGTAGAACCAACCCATCCAGATTTTTTTTAGAACAAAAGAGTACATTGAGAGTTACTTCCTAGTGAGATGGTTCAGAATACATTGCATGTATTTCATGTTATTGCCTTATTTAATGAAATATTTTTCCTTAAGAGATGGCACTTTCACAGCTTTTCAGACAGCAATCAAGATAGGGCTTTTCTGTAAACGTTTTGATTATTGATGAATAAAGAAGTCATTCTTGATGCCAGATTTTGTTTTTGTTTGTTTTAATAATAATAAAGTTGGAAGGGACCTTGGAGGTCATCTAGTCCACCCCTTGCTCAGGCAGGAAACCCTATACCATTTCGGACAAATGGCTGTCCAGTCTCTTCTTAAAAACTTCCAATGTTGGAGCATTCACCGCTTCTGGAGGCAGGTTGTTCCACTGGTTAATTGTTCTAACTGTCAGGAAGTTTCTCCTTAGTTCTAGGTTGCTTCTCTCCTTGATTAATTTCCATCTGTTGCTTCTCGTCCTGCCTTCAGGTGCTTTGGAAAATAGCTTGACTCCCTCTTCTTTGTGGCAGCCCCTGAGATATTGGAACACTGCTATCATGTCCCCCCTCATCCTTCTCTTCATCAAACTAGATATACCCAATTCCAGCAATCGTTCCTTATATGCTTTAGCCTCCAGTCCCCTAGTCATCTTTGCTGCTCTTCTCTGTACTCTTTCTAGAGTCTCAACATCTTTTTTACATTGTGGTGACCAAAACTGGATGCAGTATTCCAAGTATGGCCTTACCAAGGCATTGTAAAGTGATATTAATACTTCACATGATCTTGATTCTATCCCTCTGTTAATGCACCCTAGCACTGTGTTGGCTTTTTTGGCAGCTGCAGCACACTCCTGGCTCATATTTAAGTGATTGTCCACTAGGACTCCGAGATCCCTCTCACAGTTACTACTATTGAGCAAGGTACCCTCTATACTATACCTGTACATTTGGTTTTTCTTGCCTAAATGTAGAACCTTACTTTTTTCACCATTGAATTTCATTTTGTTAGATAGCGCCCAGTGTTCAAGTCTGTCCAGATCCTCCTGTATCTTAAGCCTGTCTTCTGGAGTGTTGGCTATTCTTGCCAGCTTGGTGTCGTCTGCAAATTTGATGAGTTTCCCATCTATCCCTCGTCCAAATCATTGATGAAGATGTTGAAGAGCACTGGGCCCAGAACAGAGCCCTGGAGCACCCCACTACACACTTTCCTCCATGTAGATGCAGTTAGCTGTAGGTTAGTAAGCTGACTAGCAAACTAAGGTATGTAGGAAGCACATCACAGTAGTAATGTGGGACTTTAACTACCCTGACATCAACTGGGAGACAAACTCTGCACCAAGTGGAAGATCAAACAGATTCCTGATAAACCTAGCAGACAACTTTGTCTCCCAAAAAGTAGAGAAGGGAACTAGGGGATTAGCCATTTTGGATCTAATTCTCACTAACAGAGATGAAATGATAGAAGTTTTTGATGGATTATATATTGTTGTAAACCACCAGAAGTCTGCATGAAGTTAGGAAATATCAAAAATCAAGTTTTTTCTCTTTCCTTTCCAAAATCTTTGATATGTCTTTTGCAGTGCTTTTTTTCTAAAAAAAAAAAAAAAAAAAGGTGCCGGAACTCACACGTCAGACAACCCGTCTTGCCTACCCTACAAGGTTCCATCCAAAAAAGGTGCCGGAACTCCGTTCTGGGCGTTCTATGAGAAAAAAAAGCCCTGGTCTTTTGACTGTTGAAAAGCCCTCCAGGGGGACTTCCGGTGGCAGGCGACCTCGTCGGACGCAGCTGTTTGCTGCCTCCCGCCTGTTTCAGCGTAAAAGCCGTTTTGACAGCTAGCATCAGCTGTCAAACGGCTTGATACCCTTCCCCTGGGCATAAGGGGATAGGTGAGCTACCCGGGGTAGGAGTTGAGTTCCCGAGTCGTCCCATGTGGACGATGTAGGTGAGAAC